TTTGTGACTTTTTGCGATTTTTCAAAATATTTTTGTTTTTTGTTATTTTTCAAAAAATTTCGATTTTTTGTTATTTTTCAAAAAATTTCATTTTTTTGTGACTTTTTGCGATTTTTCAAAATATTTTCGTTTTTTGTTATTATTTTTCAAAAAATTTCGATTTTTTGTTATTTTTCAAAATATTTCGATTTTTTGTTATTTTTCAAAAAATTTCGATTTTTTGTTATTTTTCAAAAAAAATTCATTTTTTGCGATTTTTCAAAAAATTGTCATTTTTGTGATTTTTTTAGATTTTTCATTTTTTGTGACTTTTTGCGATTTTTCAAAATATTTTCGTTTTTTGCGATTTTTCAAAAAAAAATCATTTTTTGTGATTTTTTGTGATTTTTCAAAAAATTTTCAATTTTTGTTATTTTTTCAAAAAATTTTCATTTTTTGTGATTTTTCATAAAATTTTTTATTTTTGGTGATTTTTCAAAAAATTTTCATTTTTTGTTATTTTTCAAAAAATTTCCATTTTTTGTTATTTAAAAAAAAAAATTCGATTTTTTTTATTTTTCTAAAATTTTTCATTTTTTGTTCTTTTTCAAAAAATTCAGCTGTCAGCCGCCGTTTTCTATCGGCCGTACTCCAGGACGGTGATGCCCAGCCACCGAGCATGGGGAATGGGCCAGCAACCCCTGTCTCCTGACGGCGCTGTACTTGCAGCAGACGTGCCTGTGCTTGCAAACCACTTGCTAGTAACTGTGGCAACGCATGAAGAGTTTGAGCTTCCTCCAGATGCTTGCTTTGTGTTTTGTCATCAGTTGGGGCTGCCAACACATGGATTCCACTGGACGCACTCGATCTGGGCATAACAGACCCTCTATGGGGGGAGGGGAGGGGATCCTCCTGTTCTTTCTTTCTTTTCCTCCATCTGTTTTCTTTCTCTACAGATGCCGTTTTTCTCTGCTTAGTTTCTGATTTGGTCTATTTGGACATGTCGATCTCCTGCTTTGCTGCGGTTCGGACCGCCTTTGCCTAGAGCTCCGTGCTTTGCACTCTCGCCTTGTATATTTCGTGTCCTGTTTTCTTACGTCAGCCTATCAGCACAGTGCTCAAACGACATAGCTTGAAGAACACGACGGGATCTACAAACGTTCCGCAAAAGAACTTGACTGACGAAAGCGGAAGCGCTAACGGAACAACCTCCCGCTGCAGGCACCTTACATTCCTGAGACGGGAAACCACCGACGGCTGGCTGCGAAATTGCCTCTGGTTCAGATTGGTTTAGAACCGTCCCTCTGCCCAAAACGCCACAGACGTCTGCAAAAGATTGCAGTTCTTGAAACAAAGTTACCTCTGATCCGAGCAGAAGCGTTCGCTTACTTAATGGCAGATAAAATGATGACCTTTCACACGGTCTGCATTCGTTCCGTCAGTAACAGCGGCAGGCCGGTAAAAATAAAATTCTGACATTTCACAGGGCACACTCGCTTGGCGGACAAAAGCCACCGGGGGCTCTCTTTGCGTGTTCCTTCACCTGGTCAAACCGCTTTGAGGGGGGACCTTTCGAGTAGTTTTCGGCGTCAGAACGGGCTCTTCTAGCGACGGGTGGGCAGGCCTTCCACAGGCGCGCGCGGCTCTACTGGAGCAAAAGAGGCTTGGCAAAGGANGAGGAAGAGAGGGAAATGGCTCTGCAGCGAGCACCACTTGGCTCCAGCCGGGTCCGACGCTACCGCCTGAACTCTGTCTTGAACCACTGTGCTCAGGGGAGAGCGCGAACGCAGTCCCCCACTACCAGAAATTATGCAGTCGAGATTCCCACATTTGGGGAATTCGCAGGGGTCAGCGTGGCCGGAGTGCAATGGCCAAGCCTCGCCCTGGGTGAACCACCTTCTTGATCATGGTATCTCCCCTGCCAGGTAAGTATGAGTTGCCAGGCGGCGCAAATGGCAGCCGCCGTTTTCTATCGGCCGTACTCTAGGGCGGTGATGCCCAGCCACCGAGCATGGGGAATGGGCCAGCAACCCCTGTCTCCTGACGGCGCTGTACTTGCAGCAGACGTGCCTGTGCCTGCAAACCACTCGCTAGTAACTGTGGCAACGCATGAAGAGTTTGAGCTTCCTCCAGATGCTTGCTCTGTGTTTTGTCATCAGTTGGGGCTGCCAACACATGGATTCCACCGGACGCACTCGATCTGGGGATAACAGACCCTCTATGGGGGGAGGGGATCCTCCTGTTCTTTCTTTCTTTTCCTCCATCTGTTTTCTTTCTCTACAGATGCCGTTTTTCTCTGCTTAGTTTCTGATTTGGTCTATTTGGACATGTCGACCTCCTGCTTTGCTGCGGTTCGGACCGCCTTTGCCTAGAGCTCCGTGCTTTGCACTCTTGCCTTGTATGTTTTGTGTCCTGTTTTCTTAGGTCAGCCTATCAGCACAGTGCTCAAACGACATAGCTTGAAGAAGACGACGGGATCTACAAACGTTCCGCAAAAGAACTTCACTGACGGAAGCGGAAGCGCTAACGAAACAACCTCCCGCTGCAAGCACCTTACATTCCTGGGACGGGAAACCACCGACGGCTAGCTGCGAAATTGCCTCTGGTTCAGATTGGTTTAGAACCGTCCCTCTGCCCAAAACGCCACAGACGTCTGCAAAAGATTGCAGTTCTTGAAACAAAGTTACCTCTGATCCGAGCCGAAGCGTTCGCTTACTTAATGGCAGATAAAATGATGACCTTTCACACGGTCTGCATTCGTTCCGTCAGTAACAGCGGCAGGCCGGTAAAAATAAAATTCTGACATTCCGCAGGGCACACTCGTTTGGCGGACAAAAGCCACCGGGGGCTCTCTTTGCGTGTTCCTTCACCTGGTCAAACCGCTTTGAGGGGGGACCTTTCGAGTAGTTTTCGGCGTCAGAACAGACTCCTCTAGTGACGGGTGGGCAGGCCTTCCACAGACGCGCGCAGCTCTACTGGCGCAAAAGTGGCTTAGCAAAGGACGAGGAAGAGAGGGAAGCACCGCTCCAGCCGGGCCCGACGCTACCGCCTGAACTCTGTCTTGAACCACTGTGCTCAGGGGAGAGCGCGAACACAGTCCCTCACTACCAGAAATTATGCAGTCGAGGTTCCCACATTTGGGGGTAGGGTGAAGCTGCAGGCCCGGATACCCAACCGCACGCTCAGACCTGCACGCTCAGACCAGCACTTCCATACCTATCATTTTCTCAGACAGTGCCACCTGCTGTTGGGTTGGGTGAAGCGGCAGGTATCGAGACCCACGCTCAGAGCAGCACTTTCTAGGAAGTAGCAACATCGGACACGTGAGTAAGGTCATTCATTTTATTAAAGCGATTCTTGAAATTAGCAGGTTTTATGGCATAAATCAATGTGACATCTTATTACACTAACAAACAATATTTCAGTGTTTGATTTGAATTAGTCAAAAGATAGCATTATTTTATGATATTTACAGCGTGCTCTTATTTTCTGTTATTGTACCATTCTGGGACACTTTTCTAGCAATGATTTCTGGCAAAATAAAAAACTTTAATGTTACAATTAATAATTGCTTTATATACACAATACATTTTATTTTAACATTTTTACTTTAAAGTGCTATGTAGGTCTACTGAACGTATTACTGTATTATCTATCTGAAAGTGGTACAGACAATAACAGTAACACAATAACAGTTTAATAATTGTAAATAAGATCTCTGGAAATCAAAATATCAATTAATCTGCATAACATTTACAATATGAGCTCTCTTAGGTTAAAACAAATATAATTTGCTTGTGACTTGTGTATGTTTTTCCTAGATGGATATTACAATTCAAAAAGGGGGGTCTCTGCCAGTACCTGTACAGTGCACCGAATGCTGCACATATTTTCATTGTCCATTTTGTGATATCTCGGTTTTCCAACCAACACGATTGAAAAAAGTGCAATCACATCTGCAGGCACATTTTAATAGATCAGTCCAGCATGAAGGAAATATTTGAAAATGTACATCTTATTATAGTGAAAAATTGTAAGAAAACTTAAAGTGCAATCTTATACTGCTTTTTTTTTCAGAATTTACAATACACAGATGTGGACGCCTCTGCAGAAGTCAGCCACATTATCACTGCCTCTTCTGCAAATCAACCATTTTAAGAAAACCTGATTTTGTTAAACATTTAGGACTCTGCAAACAAAAACAACAACCACCAACCCCTCATACTAAAGCCACCACAACTTTTGCCACATCTCTGCCCGCCACACATGTGCCTCTCTCCACTGCCACGGCTCTGCCCGCCACACATGTGCCTCTCTCCACTGCCACGGCTCTGCCCGCCACACATGTGCCTCTCTCCATTGACACGGCTCTGCCTGCCACACATGTGCCTCTCTCCACTGCCACGGCTCTGCCCGCCACACATGTGCCTCTATCCACTGACATGGCTCTGCCCACCACTTCTGGCATTTCTAGGCCCTTAAAAAAAATTGTCGGAAAAAACCAAAGCAACTAAAGCAATGTCCCAAATGTGATTTGATATGCCACTATAAAAATTTAAAAAGACATATAGAACGTAAACACACCCCAAAAATGATGGACATCACTTCCTCATCTCATCTTGACAGTGAGTGCATAGACCCTCAGAATGGAGTCTATATGGTCCACAAATGTTTTCATGGAGCTGCTACTCCACTCCATGTGCAAATAAAAATATGGGGGGAACCACATCGTGTTTCATGTGAATTAAATGAGTGCCAGACTAATATGGAGTTGGCTTGGAGAAGTGGACTGCTGTCATACCAATGTGTTCACCTCCGGTCAGTTTCATACTGCAAAACATTTTAACCTCACCTTCACTCACAGAAGAAAGTTTTTAAAAAATGGTTAAAAGCAAGTGGTTTGGGCAGGACCAAATAAAACAGTGTGTAAATCGTCAAAAACTAGCCCAAGAAGAAAATGCACCACTGTCAGTTGAATCCAAGATTGGAGTCCCACCAACAAAAAGGTTCATATCGGTCTACGAGCCTAATATATCATATTATAGTAGACTGGGCAGAGTCATGGTATCATATGACACCAAGAAGAATTCATGGCACTGTCCCTGTGCAAAAACCCAGAGATCATGTACCCATAAATACATAGCAAAATGGCATCTCTGTCAAATTCACCCTGAACTCTTCCGAAAAGTTCGGAGCACTGAAGGCGCTGAAGAATTTCAGGCAGCAGCGATGGAGGAAAGTGATGAAAGTGAGAATTACCCTCCAAAGGACATTGCTAAAGTACAGAGCATAGTAGAATACATCTTAATGAATAAAAAGCTACCATCTACTATTCCCAGTCATTTGAGGCTTTCTTCAGACTATAAGGAATTTCCAAAACACCTAATCCCTGATGAGACAATGTGCTACCACTGCTCAGACCGCACATTGCTCAGTGATCCTGTCTGCATTACACGTAAAGAGAAAATTCTTACAACTACAGGAATTGTCCAAGGTGGATAATTGTTACTTACATATTTTATTTTATTTTAATTATGAAAAAGATACTAAACCATTTATTTTACATTCTGTATCTGCAGATATTTCAACTTACTCCAAATTCTGTCCTTTCTGTGGAATGGTGTACCGTTACCAAGAGTGGGCTAATGGTTTGCATAACTTCAATGACCATGTCCTCCTTGAACTCTCTCTCTGCCTCACCATAAGAAACCTGTTGCAGGTAATCGTTATACAATACATATATTATATGTTATACAATATATTATTTTTTACAACAATAGGATTTCTTCATAGTGTTGATTTTATGTTAGGCAACATTAGGCACATTCAAATCAAGACTTAAAACACATCTGTTTAGCTGTGCCTTTACTGAATGAGCACTGTGCTACGTCCGACAGTTCACACTATTATGTTTTCTGTTTTTAACTGTTTTTTAAATCATTTTTATTCTTTGTTTTTATTTTCTTATACTTGTCTCTTTTATTCTTGTTTATGTAAAGCATTTGAATTACCATTGTGTATGAAATGTGCTATATAAATAAACTTGCCTTGCCTTGCCTTGCCTATATAAGTACTGATTAACTGTGATTTCTTTATCATAGGTGCATACAGCAGTCAGCAGAGTAGTGGAGTACTTAGAGATAACTACAGGTGTACAGTTCCCCTCAGCAGTTACTCTTCTCCACGGCTATCTGCATTTTGAGGCCCTAACTGACCATGAATACAAGTATTCATGTGTCTCCTGTGGTGACCATCCATCTGTGTCTTTCATGTCACCTGTATCTTTCCTTTTTACTGCAGAGAGGTAAGTCTTATTAGTGAAACTATTAGTAAGTTTATAGTATGTATTTATTTTCTTTAGTGCGTGATCTTTCACAGCCTCCACAAGATTTTAATGGAGAGGTGGATTTAGATATGTTTGGAAGGCACTGACAGAAGAACGAATTGCTCAAGGATTTTTTTCAAGTAAGGAAATTTATTATATCAGGAATGGCATGTCATCATTATTTAATTTCATAAGTGTTTTCAGGAGTACAATCTAAATTAACTGATGTACTAACATGTTTATTTGTCCTAAAGGTCAAAAAAACAATCCATTTTGTGTTACACCTAGTTACAACTTTTGGGCACCCTGGATCGGGAGTAAGACTCGCATAGCGAATGTTGTTCTCAACACTGAATTTGAGAGAGTGCACAAAGCAAAAACTGCAGAACGAACAGAAATAACTGTCTCTGAAGATCGCTTAAAGGACGAACTTTCAAAACAGAAAGTAAAATATTTAATGCTAATTATATGTATTATTTGTCAGTGTTGGCATTTCATTTAACATGTGTGTTTTATGTGATAGGTGGGAGTGATAAGAGGACTGTGTCAAGAGTGTGGTTTAGATGCCAAAGGCTCTCGCACAGATCTACTCCTGCGACTTTCGGAGGAGATGAGGTCAAGGGAGGCCTATGACAAGGTTTTTGAAAAGATTTGGGCTGCTTCAGGTAAACCTCAATGTTGCACATTAAAATATTACAAATAAATCAGAAATGTACAAAGTCACATAGACATAATGGGTCCTGTTTTCTGCTTGGCACTGATTGGGAAGTGACTGGTGGTGTACAGCTCTGAGGGGTGTTGGAGGTGGCCTCGTCTGACACCAGAGTGTATTGTTGCTTTCCGTGTGGGGGAGTGTATTTACATCTCTGAGGCACTGCATCTTTAAATTTTTTAAAAGTATACTTTGTTAAGGTTAATGCCACTGCCCTCCATCATAACCTATGGTAATTTAAGTCCCAAAGTCATTAATGGGATTTGATTATGTTTTCTTAACTATTTGCTTATCTTTTTTGTCTGTTCCAGGAGGTTGGGCTGTCATCATGTGTCCTTGTGGCATAGTTTACAGTATAAAATGTAATCTGCGAGCAGAAAGTCCACGGGATTTTGCAGATATGCTTCTGTCTTGGAAGCATCTGCCTAATGTTGTTATTTATGACTTTGCCCGTGGACTGTCCACCCACACAAATTTGAGGCAACCCATAACTTTCACACCTTTCGAGGGAAGGTTACTCGAACCAACCACTGAAAATATTGCAAAAGCAAAATCAGGAAAATTACAGGTAACTCTGCCATGGCTCACTGCAAAAAAGCAAAGTCCAGATCCGGATGGTCATCCAATAACTGGTTCTGCAGAACACTAAGTTCTGTATGACCGCTTTCACGAAGACAACACAAAAGATCCTCATGATTCACTGAGGAAGCTTCGTCTTGTGCCTTAACTAGCTGGCAAAGTTAACAGTCAGGCTGCAGAACAGCTTTTTTCAAAGCTAAAGAAAAATAACTACTTTATGAACATGGCATTGCCATCCACACATGTTTTCCTCATGCGAAACATCATCCACCATTACAATGTCAGAAAAAACGAGAAACGTCTTCATGACATAAAAAAGGAATTCAACACAAACATTCACATGAATGACCACAGCCAGGTTGTGTTAGGTAATGTTTCCCTTACTTTGTAACAAATACATCACTTCATCCATAACTGTACTTATGTGTATATTTGCATTTATAGAAAATCCATCCTCCACAGAGAAATGCATGGACATGTCACTTGGTAATTTGACTGTTCTTTCCAGTTGCTCAGTGTCAAGTTTCTGTTCACTAATTATTATGTGTTATTTTCTCATTTTGATGCTTTAATGTACTCTAAGGACCACTGACAGCACTGCCAGAAAATATTGTGACTTTACAAACGACCGCTGCATCACCAGGCATAACATCAGTCACATCTCCTCTGTCATCAGTACCAATTACAGAAAAAAACAGCTTGTAAACCTACCACTCTTCTGAATTTTTTGGAACCTACTAAGCCTTGGGAGAGGTACTGGCATCCATTACAAGAGAAACTGGTGAACAATTACCATTACATACAAACGCACACACACACACACACATATTTATTGTTATTATTATTACAGCTTGATTATGTGCTGGACCGAAATCGCCCTGGCAGTGAAATAATTGTGAAGGAGGGGCAAGTGTGCCTTATTCGAGAAGAATTTTGGAGCCTTGGATTGTTGAGGGACATGGACTCCCATGTAAGCAGTCTGTTTTTTTATTAAAACTTTTTTTTATTAAAAACATTGACTTATCAAAGTATTTATTGCAGATTGGAAACGCCTGCATGACGCTTATTTGTGAAATGGCTCGACAAATTGTATGTACTATAAAACATAATATTTATATAGATTGTTTTAACTTGATCCAAATTTAAAAAAAAAAAAACAATTTCTAAACTGTGTGAAAATGTTCATGTCATTGTCAACAGTTTCTTTTTATTCATGTAGGGCAAGGACATATACATTGAGGACTTTTATGTTGTCCCTGTGTGGAAAGAAACTCCTAACAACATTGTTACTGGATTACCGGTGCGTGTATATACTGTATTTACTGTGTGAGAAGTACAACCTAAATTAAACGACATAACTGTCCTGATCAATTCTAGGAAGATGCAGACTTGAAAGACCTGTTAGCCTTTCCAGCATGGACAAATGCCAATGGACCAGACCGCTTTGTTGTCTGTGTAAGAAAATATTGAAATGTCTAGTGCATACATTAATTGGTATTGCAATGTGTGTGTTTCTAAAATAAAACACTGAAAAATCTTGGAAGAAGCAATAATGTTCAAATGAAATATTTTTACACCTTTAACATTATAGATAATGATGCCGCTTCGAAGAGAGATGGTGTTTTTAGACTCTCTGTATGCAGAGCATGAATCATGATTTGGAGATGAGGAATACAGGGCAATTTTTAGGTCTATCAATAAACTAAGACATGTTTCAGCCTTTTTGTGATATATGGCTACGTTCCTATAGCCATTTCTATTTATTTCCTAACCGTGTATTATAGTTCTGTCACTTTTGGCTACGTTCCTATAGCCGTTTCTTAAACTTCTGGCTATGTTCATCTATCCTTTTTTATGCATGGTGTTCTAGAGTTGAGGTGAGCGGTAATTGTTAGTATTACTACTAATATGTTTTGTTTACAGGAAAATTGCTTACCAAGTGGGTCATGGGACATGGTCTGAAAAGACTGGATATGATTTTCCAGTGAGGAATCAACTTAAAAAAAATATTATTTGGCTTTTACAACAATTAAATTTTTTGTACATTATTCTAAAATAAAATTGATTTGCTTTGCCTATTTTAGGCTTTGCCACGTCAGACAAGAGGGAATGATTGTGGTGTTTTTGTACTCATGGTAAGATATAAATTAAGTTAATTGATTTGAAGATTTTGTAAACATTGTAAATGACTGTGGCTTCTCTCTTTTCAGTACACCCTCTCAATGGTGTGTGGCATTGGGTTTCAATTCCAGGAGGTATTATTTTATTATTTATGTAACTTTATTTTGTTGGTGCTTTTTTTAATCATAGCTAAAATGTAACTATTTTAGTGTATATTATCTTGCTTTCTTCTAAGCAACATATCTTTTAAAAAAAGGGGCATGGTTATTGCAAGCACACCCAACATCATGTATTAACAAAAACATGTTGGTTAACTGTCAGACTAAACAGTCTTTCTTTCAGATGGATATACCTATCATCCGTCAGTGGTGGTGCCTTCTACTCATGGAACAATTTCAAACTGATGGGTATGTCAGTATTTATTTATTCTTCTTGTAAATCTGTAAAATTAAAAATTTATATTGTGTCAATACAACAACTTGTAACATGAATAACAAAACATACTTAAAATCTCTTTTACCGGTGACCAGTATGTCACCGACTCGGTCCCAGTAACTCCCCTCGCTGGCCAGCAGAGGCCACCATCTCCGGACTTTTAGCATTACGTAATCCATCTACACTGATTGCGCATACACCTGATTGGAATCTGGCTAATGACCCACGTACCTCTTATAAGCCGCACTCAAACACTCGTTCAAGGCGAAGTCTTGTTTAGCCCCGGCCAGCATTTCTGAGCATTATCTCCAGCCTGATCTCCTGTGCACGACTCCAGCCTGTCTCTTACTTTGCTTCGCCTTCTGCCTGCCCAGGACCCACGCTTGTTATACGGACTCTGACTCTCTCTCTGCCTGCCCACGACCCACACTTGTTATACGGACTCTGACTCTCTCTCTGCCTGCCCACGAACCACGCCTGTTATACGGACTCTGATCCTTGCTGCCTGCCCTTGACCCAAGCCTGCATAACGGATCCTGGTTCTCGCTCACTCCCTTCCACTCATGCCTGGTAACTCACTCTGTGTCTGTTCATCATCAGTCTTGATACCCATACTACTACTGTGGATGTGTGTGTGCACTCCGGTGCATATTGTGTGTTTGAGTGAAGTTGTGATTAATAAATACTACATAATGGATCCCTCCGTGACAGTCTCCTCATTACACAGTAATTATGGATTTTGTCTTGTCTTGTTATTAAAAGCTATGGGCACAGATTTGCTTTCTGGACTGAGGAGGCAAGAAGTGTCTTGGATGGAAAGATTCTGCTCCTTTTTAGGGTGAAAAGAAAAACCACATCCAATCTTCCGGCACATGTCCAAGCAGTTCAAGATCGGGAAAGGAATGACAAAAGATTGGTGGACTTGATTATCACATCAAAATCAGCAGAGCAGCATTTGGTGGTATAGATGGTTCCACTTTAAATACTCCTCTAGACTCTGAGTATGGTTGACTTAAATATAGTCAAGTGACAATTTAACTATTATTTGCCAAATATAATTAATTACTTGTGCATTTACATATGAAATATAATTTCCTTCTATGGCCCAAAGGATATACTCGGTGGGAAAAGGTCAAATTGGTTTCCACTAAACCCCGTTCTCAAGTGCCTGTCTACATTGAGAATGAGCAGTCCCAGTCAATCATTTGTGACTACATCAGAGGAATTCTTAATAAAACCAAAACACAGCTGACCTTCAATGATGAGGTGGAGTTCATTTGTGGATGTCTCCTCCCAGAGGTAATCACAAAACATGTATGTACATGAGCATGCTTATGTTCTGCAGTGTGTGTTTTATTTTATTAATTGGTTTATCTGTATGTTTGTACAGGCCATAACTCATGGCATTTCCGAGTTACAAGGCTTGTCTTGGCAGGAGGCTGAAGATGTCTTCCTCCAGGGCCCCATTTATCACGCAAGGTATGTTTACATTTTTTTTTTTGGTATAAAAGCTGT